ATAATTTCTGATGCAAGTTCATATCCAAGAAACGCTGTATGAGCACCGGCACTACAGAAATCTACCTGTAAATAATAAATGACGGCACAAGTAAGATGAGAAATTGTCGTGATTAAGTAAAAGGCTAATGAGGCTTTTACAGCTAAAACAATAACCGAGACCTGAAAATCAATGGCTTTTCTGGACTACATACGCTGCAGAGTGGTTGAACTCAGTGCCATGTTTCTATCGAAAATTCAATTATGAATGTGAACAACTGCATATATCCGAGGCAATCTCTTATTTTCGTATAACACATGCACCACTGGTTTCCTCGACATAAATGTAAAAAGTACAGTTGCACGCGCCAATCTTTTTTACTTTAAAATTATTCCCACAGGAGACATAATTCGCTTTTTCTCTCCGTGGGTCCCATTTGGCCTGTCAACCGTTCAATAAAACAAACGATAAAAGAATATTTAAAAACAATAACAGAACTGGATCAAAACCTAGGAAACGCCCGATTTGATTATGATATGAGTTGGATAAGAAATATTGTTCTAACCTTACTTCTGCCTTCCGTCTCCTCTAATCATACACTTTACAAACTAGAAACCTGTACATATCATCTGCACTGTCGCAAAAGCTTTCTTAGACACTCCGAGCACATACTGGGAAACGGCATTGCAAAAAAAAGCATGCATAATATATTCGACAGATGTCTCCCTGTCACCGTTGCACTTGTTACCAAACGGTTTTACATCTTCTAGACGGATACTATCCTAGACCCAGTGGATATTTGTGGAAGTAATTTGTTCTTAGCAACATATTTTTTTGTCATAGGGAGTCTTCCCACGCAGTCTTGCGTTACATGCACGTGGTTGAAATGCTAAGTTCATGGTTTTATAGTTTCAAACAAGTTATTTGTATCCGAATTCATTCAGATATTGCTTCAGTCTTAAATAACAAGTGTGATATTATGATATAATAAACAAAAACGTTTCCTTTTTCTTCTGTTTTCCTTGAGCAAAACTTATTTGCATCAAGTTTAATATACTTACATTGCAACTGGAGGTGTACGGATTTTAGAACATTCGGACTATCGGCACGTACCTAAATGACATGTGATGAAAAGCTTAAATAAACTATTATATAGAATAAAGCACCATGTTCTGGTGTTTATTCCTTCCGGGATGGATTAAATAGATATCAGTACTGTAACAAAATAAATCAAAATGATTAAAAAGTCGTTTTAAAGCTATCTTAATAGTTGTTTGGTGTTTACGATGAACTAGTGAATTGTTTAAACTCCAGTTTAAGAAGTACATTCAATTGAACTTGCTTACGAAGTCAGCTAAAACTGGAGTGAACAAATGCAGCAACTGCCTGAAATGAGTGAAGTGATTAACCTTGAATAGTACGTCAAGGTTACCTCATTCTATCCGTGACTAAGGACATATAGGATAGGATAATTGCCCAGGTAAAATGGGGCAAGATGGGCGAGTCCATCCATCTGGAAGGGTGTCAGGTAGGGCAAGTCCATTCCATTTGGCAGGGGTGTCAGGTGGGGCGAGTCCATTACTTTGGGGGGGGTGCCAGGTGGGGCGAGTCCATTACTTTGGGGGGGGG